GAGCCAAAATGAGAACAGATCCGAGCTCAGCCTGCAAAGTGTAGGAAAATATCCAGCCGAGCTGTCGTCAGCCCATGAGTGTAAGAGTAAACGATTGTTGTTTTAAGCTGCTGAGTCCTGGGGTAGCTTGTTACACAGCATTACTGAGCAATTGCTGACCGATGCATGTCACAATGAGTCAAAGCCTAAAAATAAGGGAAGCTTTGAGATGTCAATCATGCTTCCTGTCCTTATTTCCATGCATCTACTTCCTTTCTGGTCCTCTGAGCTTGGGTACCCCTCCTTCCTGACAATCTTCACTGCGTACCTCTGCCAGGCCCTAGGAATACAACGTAAATGACACGTTATCTTTGCCCTCTTAATGTCTAGTGAGAGCCATGAATAAGTTAACAAGAAATAGTAATTCAGTGAATCAGGGGACATTATAGAAAAATGCCAGAATGCTATGGGACCAAACGGAATGGATACCTGTCCCTAGGCTAGGAGGTCAGAGAAGGTGGCAAAGGATGAACGGAGAATGAGTAGGAGCAACGAGGCTCGGAGTAGAGGAAGCACCTCACTCTGGGAGGCACATAATGGGACACAAGCCCGCCGAGACCCCAAATCCATGCTTTGCTCCCCTGGTGAGCTGGGTCAACCACAGAGAAACCTGAAGACAGATTCGTGCTTGCCTCACTCTCCCCTGGGGAGCCATGTGGAAATACCCGTGCTGGGACTCACTTCTGGAAAGTCTGGGCTTGCACATCTTGGAAATGGCTTGGGTGATCTGCTTTTTAAATACGCTCACAGATGACGCCAGCACTCGCCCAGTTTGGGAATCACCGGTGAGCTGCCCTCGCCATCTCTCCCGCCCTGGGGGCCTAGAGGGGCCCCCCCACACCCACCACCCCAGGCCAGTGCCAGGGAGGAGGAGAACAGGCAGGGAGGCTGGGGACCCAGCACAAAGCTTCCTCCCCACAAAGCGGACAGCCCCCGAGGCCCCGGCGTGGGAGTGACCCCTGCTCTTCCCACCGAAAGCTCCCAGCAGGGGTGACGGAAGTTTCTGCCACTGCCAAGCTGCCCACTTCCACGGGGGCCGTTTGCAGCTGGTGTTTGTGGCTCCCACACGCAGAGCCTAAAAACAGAGTCTGGACAGGAAAGGCTCTGAATTGGGCTCGAGGGTGTGGGAAGACGCTAAATCTGGAAATCTGATATCATGCTGCCTCTGGGCTTTTAAACCCAGATTTTCATAGAGAACGTATTTTTGCAGATTTACTCAGACACATTCCTGGAAGCCAAAGAGTCTCCCTAAATCATTTAGGAAGCTGACTGAGCTCAGCTCTGTTCCCACACGTGTGATTACTGTCTCCCACACCCCTTCATCCGCCCGCACACTCGCACACACTCACACCCGTACACTCACACCCGTGCACTCACACTCAGGAGCACACTCACTCGGCTGCAGAACCCTGAGGAAGAAACAGAGGTCAAAGCTACCACTCAGCTTCAGCAAACCCAACATCTGCTCGCACCTCGGTGCCGGCAGCATGGATGGCCGTGAGCGCTGCACAGGGGCCTGGACGGCGAAGGTCTGTGGTGGCTCGGGCAGCTCCCTCTGGGTCCTGTCTCCCAGGGAGAGAGCAGTCACTCGGCGGCGCTACGCTGGACATCCAATTCCCGCGGGGCGTCTGGCTTAAGGGAGCAGGGCAGTGGGAGGAGCAGGGAGGTGGTGGTTGCATGTGGTGTGTCGTGTGATTGTGTGCGTGATTGTGTGTGTTTTGATACATATGTATGTGGCATGCTATCTGTGCGTATGGTATGGGATGTGTGGTGTGGTGTGTGTGTACATGCACACATGTGACTATGTGTGTGGTTGTATTGCGTGCTGTGGTATGTGTACGATTTTGTGTGTGTGACTGTGTATGTGTTTAAAATATATGCCTGTGGTATGATGTGTGTGCATGTAGTATGGTGTGTGTGGTGTGGTGCTTTATGTGTGCACATGCACGTGACTATGTGTGTGTGATTGTGTGTGTGGGTGTATGTATGTGATTGTGAGTGGTTATGTCTCTGTGGTTGTGTGTGAGATTGTGTTTGATATGTGGTATGATGTGGTGTGGGTGTGGACCACATGAGGGGTGCTGTCCTCTGACCCAGTGGGGCCGGCAGTGGGGCCAGGGCAGGAGGCGGGGGTGGACTCTGCTCTCTGGGCTGGTGTCACAAGGGCTGGCTGCCTCCCTCACCTGGGAAGCAGCCCCTTAGCAAACTCTCCCCCAACGACCCACCCTGAGCACACCATCCGCGTGTAGCCAGGACTCTCCCCATCCATCCAGGCTGCACACACTCCTCCTCTCTCAATTCTCCATCTTTCAATTTCCTTTTTGCCCAAGCTCCGGGACACACGGGCTCACTGAACCAACTCCCAGGAGCATGCCTCCACCTGTAACCCCCCAAACGCGCAAGGCGGGGGTCACAGCACAGCTGTCACCCTGGCCACCCCCCGTGCCAGCGTCTCCGGCCGACCCCTCCCTTTCTGCTCTGTCTCTGCTCCCCCAACACCCCTCCCCTCCAGGACTTCCCCGTTTTCCTTCTGGAACCTTGTTCCATTGAGAACACGTACCCCAACATCACCGTGCCCCGCAGAGCGCTCCTACCGCCCGGCTTTGGTGACACCCGGCTCCACAGACACACGGGCCACCAGCCGGGCTAGCAGTGTTGGTGGCCCGGTCCCCACCTCCCCTGCACACGGAACTGCTCTCGGGAACCCCGGTGGCAGCCCACGCCACCGTGTCCAGAGCCCAGCGTCCTCTCTTAAGGCAAGTCGCCAACCCTGAGCAGTCTCACGGATCCCGGACTTCGCAGCCAAGCTTCAGCCTGTCTTTGACAAACTCTCCTGGTCAAGTTGCATCCTTGAGGGTGGTGAGTCACCAGGCCCCGAACATGCCAGGGTCTGTGACTCACAGCCCAGCCGGGGAGCTCTGAAACGGGAGTCATTCAGCGCCCAAAGCGCCAGCTGAGACCCTGTTTAAGCATTAAATCAGAAGGAAACATTTCATCAACGGACTCTGGACAGTGTCAAAGGCTCGCTCCACGCCAGGAAACGAGGCACGAGTCAGAGCCTGAGAAAGAGATCGGCCGTTTCGGGGAACAGCGTGTTACCGACTCCAGACGGTCATTATGAATTTGGTTTAAGGTAAATGCCTTTCCTTTTATCTGGGATGGCGCCGCATTTAGGAATATCTAAAAATAAGATAAAAGGACAGAAGTTCCTGGTTTTATTGTTGGGACCGGAGCTTGCCATGATTTATTGTGACATTATGAATAAAACGATGCTTTGCCTTAGGAAAGCAATTTTTCTCCTCGTGCCCGAAGAGAAGGCTGTGCCGTCAATAAAGAAAGAAGAGGAAGGAGTCTCCGGAGTGGGCCGTGGCTCCTGGCGATTTGGAGAAGGTTGCCACCAACAAGCCCCGGCAGACGTGCAGCAGGGGAAGCTCGGAGCCCCTCAGCCCCACTTCACATTGTGCTTGCCGTGGAATCCAGGTCGGAAGGGTCTTTTATGGGTTTCGGTTTCGGACAGAAGTTAAGGGCAGTAACATTAATAATTACTGTCTACTGAGTACTTTCCACGTGCCAAACACTGTGCTGAGGGCCTTGCATGCCTCTTTCTCACAAAAACTCTTCGAGAGAGTTATCATCTTTAAGGAGCTGAGACTCAGAGAGGTTATGTAACTTTTGCAAGGTCACACAGCTAATGACACAGCAAGTACCTAAACTCGAGTCTGTCTGTTAAGACTGACGTCCATAACTACAACCTGAAGCACTAAACAGTCTCGAGACTCAATCCACACAATGTCGAGGGTGCTCCATGGCAATTATTTGGCATTCGTTCATGCGACAAGTATTTCTGAGGCCTATTACTCTGCAATGCGCCATGCACACGGCACAGCGAGTTAAGAAGCAGTGTCTGGTGCATAGACACCAGGAACAGAGGGCGTCCCTGTGGGTGGGTGGGCTGAGAAGTCCTAGGAGAGGGGGCATCTCTGCAGCTGGGAGCTTGGGGAGGGGGAATAGGGGAGATGGGAGGAGGGAGGCACACGGTTGGGGCGCCAGGCAGCCGAGGGGGATGGGAGATGGGAGATGGTGGAGATGCGTGGGGCATGCACAGGGCAACCGAGCTCCCAGTTGGCACCAGGGCAGCGTGAGTGGAGCAGGACACCCCGACATGGAAGGAGCACACCCACACAGGACCCCTACGGAGCTAAGGAATGGGAGCGTCACGTTCCTGGCAAGACATCTCTGAGCAGGGGAAACAGCTGGTCCTGAGCCTGCCTCCGTGCAAAACTCCAGCCAGGGAGTCTTCAAGAAGCACGGGTGGGGCCATCCCTACTCGCCCACTCTTGTCCTGGAAAACCAGCCGGACCCTCTGGACCTCAGTAAAGAGGGTGACAGTGGGTGAAGTGCAGCTGAGGGTTAAAGATGGCACCACGAGGTCTCTGATCCAGCCCCAGAGCTTTGATAACGGCCCGACGGCAGCAGAGACCCGGCGTGGGCGGCAGAGGGTCCGACCGCTGCGGGCGGGAGGGCAGCTTCCCAGCACCCGGCTCCCTCTCTCTCCTACGGATCTGCCCCTTCTATCACAACACTGATCGGCTGTTTAAATAATCAAGGAGAAGGGTAATCAGGCCAAACGTTCCCTCTCCCTCCTGCCAGTGATTGGAAGACGAGAGCACAGAGACCTCAACGGTTCCCGATAGGGCCCATCTCAGCCCCTCACGCCAAACAGCCCGACAGAGAGAAAGTGGTGACTAGCTGTGGGAAAGACTTTGCCAGTTCCAAAGGAAAGACCGAGTCCATCACATCCAAGCCCAGTAAAAGAGTTCCTGCAAGCACAAGAACAATTTCCTTTTATAAAACTCTAGTATTCATGATACAATTTGAAGGGACTTTGCATCCTTAAAATCAAAGCGGGCTCCCTTGACGGAAGAGTCACCTCAAATCAAAAAGGACGCCAGCGTGAAAATGTGATAGCTTGAACACTTTCGCTTCATGGTGGCGGCAGACGGTCGACTGCGTATTTCAGAAAACAAACGGCCACCGGAAAGGGCAGATGGAAAAATGCTTCCAGAACTGAAAAGAAAGAGAAAACGACGGGAATTGGGAGAGAAGAAATGAGAGATTTGGCCTACTCACGCACATGCAGGTAACAGACACCCAGGTGAGCACCCGCTGCGTCCCGGACTCTGTGCCGGGCACTTTGACGCATCAGCGGGCGCAGGAGACAAAGCGCCCCCGCCCCGCCCCCGCCCCTCCCCCGCCCGCACAGCCCCCATTCTGAGACCCCATTCACAGACCAGGAGGAGGGGCGAGAGTATGTTAGAAGTCATAGACTGTCACAGGAAGAGGAACCAGCAGGACAGGTGAAGGGACCGGGAGTCCCGGGGTGAGGGGGGCAGGCTGAAGTCATGAACAGGGTGGCCAGGGTGGGCCAAATTGAGGAGATGCCTTCTGAGCAAAGACGGGTGAGCTCGGGGTTATCCGGGCACGAGGATCGCAGGCAGAGGAGCGGCAGGTGCGCAGGGCCGGGCACAGTAAGGCACCGGGGGGTGGTGACGACGGGGCAGGCAGCCGACAAGGCCTATGGGGTGAGGGGGGCAAGATCCATGCTGGACCTCGGGAGGGTGGGGGAGCAGCATGAGAGTTTTGGCCTCTTTCCTGATGAAATGGGAAGCCACCACCATGAGTGCATTTTTGAGCCAAGGCCTGATCATATCTCATCTGTAAAGATCACTCTGTCTACCACGTTGAGAAAAGACGAGGGAGGGGCGGGGAGGGGAGGGGGCGGGGATGGGCAGAGAGGCCAGCCCAGTCACGGAGGAGAAAGACGGCAACACAGGGCCCTGACCTGGGAGTGATGGGAAGTGGTCGGGTTCTGGACCTGCTCAGAAGCCAGTCGGCCACCGGTAGGACTTCCCGATGGTTTTGGCGCACATGGAGGGTGACAGAAAAAGAGAAGTGAAGGAGGTTTCCGAGCTTTGTGGCAGGGGCCTCTGGAAGCTTCTATCACTGAGAAGGGGGGACGCTGGCAGAGCAGACTGAGAGGGCTGCGTCTGATTCGGTCTCGGACATGACCAGGTTGTGACGGCTACTGGGTGACCAAGTGGGAATGGCAAGTTGGAAGTCTGGAATTCAGGGAAGAGGTGGAGGCTGGAGATATGCACTTGGGAGTCTCAGCCTCTAGACAGACCTCAAACTCCCACCTGGCTTAAAGTGAGAGTGTTGTACTCTATGCTGTGTTATGGGAATATGTTCTATTTAATGAAAACATAGTCTACACAAATGCACAACTGGAGTCATGTTGTGCTTTGGGAACTTCATTTGCAGTCTTCTTATAATTGGATAGTGCCCATACTTACAAGAACCAATTATGAGCTATGCAAAATGTTTTAAATGCCCATGGATAGCATCACCTCACTGCAAGAGTGGCAACTGCAATCTACCATCTAAATTTGCATCTGGCCAGGTGTGGTGGCCCACCACGCCTGTAATCTCAGCACTTTGAGAGGCCGAGGCAGGAGGATCGCTTGAGGCCATGAGTTCCACACCAGCCTGGGCAACCGAGTGAGTCCCCATCTCTACAAAAAATTTTAAAAGGCCGGGCGCGGTGGCTCTCGCCTGTAATCCTAGCTCTCTGGGAGGCCGAGGCGGGCAGATTGCTCAAGGTCAGGAGTTTGAAACCAGCCTGAGCAAGAGCGAGACCCCATCTCTACTATAAATAGAAAGAAATTAATTGGCCAACTAATATATAGAGAGAAAATTAGCCAGGCATGGTGGCACATGCCTGTAGTCCCAGCTACTCCAGAGGCTAAGGCAGGAGGATTGCTTAAGCCCAGGAGTTTGAGGTTGCTGTGAGCTAGGCTGACCCACGGCACTCACTCTAGCCTGGGCAACAAAGTGAGACTCTGTCTCAAAAAAAAAAAAAAAAAAAAAAAAAAATTAAAAGACTAGCCAGGTGTGGTGGTGCATGCCTATAGTTCCCAGCTAATGGGGAGGCCAAGGCAGGAGGATCCCTCGAGCCCAGGAGTTTGAGGCTGCAGTGAGCTATGATGATGCCACTGCACCCTAGCCTGGGCAACACAGTGAGACCCTGTCTCAAAAATAAAATAAAATAAATTTGTATCTCCCGCCAATACTCAGAGCTTTGGTACCACAAGGAGAAGCACCTGTCAGCACTAAGCCACGTCCTGATGACACACGGGTTCTCCACTAAGCCAGCCCGACTACTGAAACTGCGAAAGAAAACTTGAGAAGAAACAGATCTGTCCGTTAGCGACTAGTAACAAAAAGAACAACAAAAACATCAATCGGTGGGGAAGAGGGTGATGAAAATGGAACGTTCCTATCGAGTCACACAACGGGACATTGTAACACTTGCTGGGTGGTTCGTGCCCGTGACTGTCAGAGCTCGAGCCCCGCCCGCCTGTGATGTCAGGAGGGGCCATCGTGAGCCGTCAGGACAGAGACTGTCGCTTCCAGGTGGTGCCTCGTCCAAGAGGGACTAACGCAGACTCTGCGCGGACTGGGAAGGCGGAGCAGTCTCAGCCCCACCGTGTGCCAGAGACCACGTGCGTGTGGTGCCACAGACATGAGCATAAGGATGGCCCGTCTCTCCCCTTGTCCCCCGTCCCTCCCGGGCTCCACTCGGACCTTTTAGCCCTAGAAGACTGAGAACAGATTCTCCACGAGGGGTCACACAGATCCCACATCACCCCTAAAGACGAGGAGGAGAGCTGCACACACCCTCCCTCTGTCTTTGGTCACTCCCCCCTGCCTTGCACTGTTGCCATCTAAATCCTGCAAAAATGATGCCAACAGATTGGCTCTATTGACCTTGAAACCTCCCTTTCAAGGGGAAAGGTAAAGGAGGGTGTCCTCCAAGAGCAGGTGGCCACCGCGGTCCAGAGCCGCGGTTCTGATCACAACCCCCTTTCCCCAGGGCATTCGGCAGTGTCTGGAGACCTTTCCGGTTATCTCAACTGGGGGTAGGGGGTGTGACCAGTGGGTAGAGGCCAGGGATGCTGCTAAACATCCCACAAAGCACAGGACAGCCCCTACGACAAAGCCCAAAGCCCAAAAAGTCACTGGTGCCGAGGTCCAAAGAGATTAAGCTGGACAAGAGATCAAGACAGACCCACACTGTCCCTGGGGAAAAGTCAAGCAAATGCTAATTCGCCAATACTGTATTTTCTGATGAACTCACTCAAGCATTGCTATTCTTGCATTCCTTAGGCCCACTCCCAGAGTCGTGGTGTCACTTACACGTGTGGCATGCCGTTCCACCTCGGCGACGACCTTGGTGAGCAGAGGTCAGAGTGGGGGAGGAGAGCCCGGCACACCTTAGGCGGAGCTTTTTCTGACCCAGCTAAGAGATCGCACTAGATTTTTATATAGACCTTCTGCCCCGTCAACTTGCATCTCGTCTCGTCCAGGCTGTTCTAGAAACGATTCTGCTCCCCAAACACAAGCACCGCCAGAGATCCACACTGTTTTAAAAGGAAAGCTGGCCAATGAAATTCTTTAAAGGATTAGTAAAAGAAAATACTACAGGCACACGTTTTACATAGAATAATGAGTAGAGAAATTGGTTGGACATTTTAATCAGATGTCAAGCTTGATTTTTTTTTTGAGTGTTTTATTGCTTCCACAATAAATGGAATCCAAATTAGAGTAGATAGAAAGCCAGAGTCGATTTTTACATTAAAACTGCTGTATGTGTTCAAAAAGCTCCTTGTGAAGGCTCCCGCCTCCCCCAGATATCACCAATGTAGGGGAATGTTAAGAGAGCATTTGACTGCGAAATTCTCTCTCCTCTGTTCGTCCTGCTGCCATTGCAGTGGCCCGGCCCCACTGTTCAGACAGTCCCGGTTATGACCCGTGCCTGGTAGTTTGAGGATTTTTTTTTTTAGGTTTGTGGGTTGTATGTGCTTGGTCTTGTCTTTCGATTTTGTCGGCCGTAAGAAATAACACGAATAGAAACGTAAAAGGAAACGTTTCCTTTGGCGCTGCCGGGGAGAGTGCCCTGTGTCTAGCAAGCGTCATTTGATGGCTCCCTTTCCATGGCCTGGGCTTCCCCGAGGGCGGGATCTTAGGGACGCGGTAGTGAGGTCCCATCAGGAGGGCCCCCGCACCATCCAGTGTGCGTAACACCAGCCCGGAGACAGGGCGGGGGAGCGTTTGCTGACAGGCGACAGCCCTCTGGCCCGGGGATGGGACCAGTGCTCGCTGTGCACGAACCGGAGTTTCTGTCTATGTCTAAGCTGTAGGCACAGTGGCTGCGGTTGTCGGCAAAGAACCACAGGCAAAGGACATGGGCTGCCAGCGGTCTGATCTGCACATCGTTTTCCTCTCTCCAAACACAGAGGTGACAACTATTTAATACAATGCATAAGAGAAGATGCAGGAAAGGCCTGACTGTGGGTTTCAAACACTCGAAGGCTTTGGGCTCTCACAGGAGGCCTTAGCCCTGGTCTGTGTCCCCTGGAGGCTGAGCTAAGGTACCAGGAGCAGATAAAGGGGGAGAGTTGCTTGAAGCAGGCAGACAGGCCGGGATGGAACCCAGCACCCCACTTCCCAGCGCGCGGCCCCGAGCCATTCCCTTAGCCTCGCTAAACCTCAGTGATTTTATCTGCAACCTGGGGGAACAGTGGTGGTTACTTCAAACTCTTGTTGCAAGGACTAGATGAAACAATTCCTGCTCTGGGTGTGTAACATCCTGCCGGGCAGCTGAGACGAGAGGTACCGAGGCCAGCTGTACCCCAGGAGGCAGCTGGGGGTCAGTAAGCACCGAGAGGGAGGGAGCCACTGCGACCACAAGCTCTGCTGCAACCTTCTCAGAGAGGCTTATCTGGCATCGAGGGCATCCAGAGCAGACCCAGAAGACGTGGAAAGTTAAGGTCAGAGGGCAGCACAGCACCAGGGTCATAGGACCTGGATGGATGAAGCCTGCAATTCAGACGGAGCTGCCCTGGCCGACGTGGCAGCCGCTCGCCCCAGGTGGCGACTGCACACCTGAAAGGCGGCTGGTCCAAGAATCCAATGTATACCAGATTTTGATGACTCGGTAGGGAAAA